TTCATCATCATGTTTAGTACAATGTCCTTGTATCTGATAGACGCATGCGCTAAAAATGCGCAATAACGGATGTCAAGTAAGGGAACCGCATAAGTTCATAACGACATAAATGAAAGTGGATACTTGTTGATACGGGGGTAATATCGAGGTATTCGAGGGAGATGGAGAATGTCGATATTGGGCGGATGAGTGCACGTGTCTCGTGTACAAATGCGAGCGGAACATGATATTTACGGCAAATAAGCTTCTAGAGTAAAGTGAATGAGGAACCAGTGTTGCTAATTTTAGCCATATACATACATAACAAGTAAATGTGTTCAAAGACAAAAATCCCGACTGCGGTATTTTTAAAGTAGTATTTTGCTGTAAAAGTCCGCCATATTGGATCTATATTTTTTTATATTGCCAGTGTCACTCGCTGCTGAGACGAATCTAACGAGACCTCATATGTCAAAATCCAACTATCTGTTTGGGCTGTAGCTCGTGAAAAAGAATTTTCTTGTCCACATACATACATACTCTCGAAAAACATAACCCTCCTTCTGAGGCAGTCGGGTAAAAATCTTTCCCGGAGGGGTAGACAGGGGTTACATCATTCCACTTGCTACGATTTTGAAACACCTTTTTCGCTTCCTCAACAATTTTAGTGCACCCGTACAATCCCATTCAATCAAAGGCGTCACGGATGCGCTAAGAATGCGCAATAACGGATCTCAAGTAAGGGAACCGCCTAAGTTAATAACGACATAAATGAAAGTGGATACTTGTTGATACGGGGGTAATATCGAGGTATTCGAGAAAGATGGAGAATGTCGATATTGGGCGGATGAGTGCACGTGCCTTGTGTACAAATGCGAGCAGAACACGATATTTACGACAAAATAAGCTTCTAGAGAAATGAGGAACCAGTGTTGCTAATTTTAGCCATATACATTCATAACAAGTAAATGTTTTAAAAGACAAAAAACCCGACTGCGGTATTTTGCTGTAAAAATCCGCCATTTTGGATCTATATTTTTTTATATATAGCCAGTGTCACTCGCGCTGCTGAGACGAACCTAACGACACCTCATAATATGTCAAAATCTAACTATCTGTTTGGGCTGTAGCTCGTGAAAAAGAATTTTCTGGTCCACATACATACATACATACTCACATACATACATACTCTCGAAAATCATAACCCTCCTTCTGAGGCAGTCGGGTAAAAATCTTTCCCGGATTTCCCGGGGGTAGACAGGGGTTACATCCTTCCACTTGCTACGATCTTGACACACCTCTTTCGCTTCCTCAACATTCATCAACATGTTTAGTGCACCAGTACAATCTGATAGACGCATGTGTTACAGATGCGCTAAGAATGCGTAATAGAGGATGACAAGTGAGAGAACCACCTAAGTTAATAACGACATAAATGAAAGTGGATATTTGTTGATACGGGGGTAATATCGAGGTATTCGAGGACGATGGAGAATGTCGATATTGGTCGGATGAGTGCACGTGTCTTGTGTACAAATGCGAGCTGAACACGATATCAACGTCAAAATAAGCTTCTAGAGAAATGAGGAACCAGTGCGGCAAATAACACGACTGCCCACAAATAAAGGAGTGTAAAGTTTTTAGGGTTCATGTATGTATGTATGTGCGTTACTTTAAACTACTGTAGTAGCTCTTTAACTACTGAACAGATTCGATTGGGAATTGTGTGAGAAGAATCCTTACATTATCCCAATTGTTATAGGCTATACAGATTTTGCTTATGTTTCTTGCATTACAGAACCAACCTTCCGAAGTTAATAACGACATAAATGAAAGTGGATACTTGTTGATACGGGGGTAATATCTACCTATTCGAGGAAGATGGAGAATGTCGATATTGGGCGAATGAGTGCACGTGTCTTGTGTACAAATGCGAGCGGAACACGATATCAACGTCAAAATAAGCTTCTAGAGAAATGAGGAACCAGTGTTGCTAATTTTAGCTACATACATACATAAAAATCATGCCTCTTTCCCGAACGGGGAGTGAGGGACTACATCCTTTCACTTGCTACGATCTTGATCTTGACACACCAGTCTCACCTTGCCCCATTCTGTCCCACAAGGATGTGTGGATGCGGGGTGGAGTGGTGCAACCGCGTAAGTAATCATTGAAACAAAATATCGCGATTATTTCGAAAACCATTAAACCAAGGAGTTTGGTCCCATATAATCTTTTGTTCAGATGTTCAAAACCTATAACATACCAAAATTTCATCAAATTTAACTGAAACCACTTTTTCCATATTATAGGTCCGGGGTCATTTAGCTACATACATAAATTCACGATTTTTTCCTGGAGATTTAGGCAGGGGCTACATCCTTCCACTTGCTACGATTTCGAAACTCCTCTTTCGCTTCCTCAACATTCATCAACATTTTTAGTACAATGTCTCTTGTATTTGACAGACGCATGTGCTAAAAATGCGCAATAACGGATCTCAAGTAAAGGAACCGCCTAAGTTAATAACGACATAAATGAAAGTGGATACTTGTTGATACGGGGGTAATATCGAGGTATTCGAGAAAGATGGAGAATGTCGATATTGGGCGGATGAGTGCACGTGTCTTGTGTACAAATGCGAGCGATTACGATATTTACGTCAAAATAAGCTTCTAGAGAAATGCAGAACAAATATAGCTAATTTAGGAAGATAGAAAAAAATACAGAAAATTTGTCTGTATCTAAAATAACTAACTTTGTAAGCGTTCACTTAATAAATAAGCAATACGTTTAATTAAAATAATTAAAAAAATACTTTGAATGTCGGGTTCAATGAGAAATTCTAGACACTATTTGCTGGGCATTTTTAGCGCATCCGTTATAATGTTAGTTTATTTGTACAAAATTTTGTTCTCTCGCAGCCTCTATTAATTTGTAAAGTTTTTACAAAATTATCACAATGAAAATGGCGTCTTATACTTACCCATATTTTTGCTCGTAACCGTTAAAAACGATGTCAAAAGCGGTGTCGGTTTTACGGTCGTTCAAGTTACGTATAGCCGTTACAGAAGAAAACGATCTTGCTATTACGACAGCATGGTGAGTTAAGCATGTATAGGTATCTTTTATTTTAATACGCGAGCACGTGCAAGTTTTATAAAAGGATGTTTTAAACTACTTTAAAAAGAAGAGTAAACATTTGACTCGTATGTAAATTCGCCAAATTATGAAAATAGATACTCAATGCGCAGAATTTGAGAAATTTTCGTATGTTAGGTAGGTACTTGCGGATCGCCAGCTCATCAATTTACCCATTTATGGGGGATCAACGTACCTATACTGCTTTTTAGTATTTGTATGAAGAACCAATGGAATATTGGTTGGTGGATGGTCCTTCATACAAATACATCCCTTAAATTGATTTGTTGCCGATAGTACATGATTGAATTTGTCTTTGCATATGTCGAAAACAAAGTGCCGTGTGCTAGCGAGCTAAGAGTATTGCCTGCCACCCCTTTACTCGGAATGGAAGGCGAAGTAGAGTTTTTGACCTCGGCCACCCTCGGCTGAATATCCTAATAGTACCTACAATAGCTTTCCCAAATAGGGTTGACGTCAAGCAGGCGGCCGGTCATACAACATTGCCAATTCCTTTTGCTACATGATTTTGTGTTCTAACAAAACATGTTGCGCTGACCCAAACTGATTCGGGATAAGGGCAGGCAGACGATAATCTCGGAAAAAACTATGTAGGCACTCCTGACTAACTTTGATGATTACCTTTTACTTGATTGAAAAACAGCTTAGGAATCTTACATGAATATCAAGTCGTTGACTCGGTCGGTGTCCAACCCACGTAACGTAATGTAAGAAGAAGATAAAGTACTGTCAAGGGCCAAAATAGGCACCTACACCAAATTATTAAATATCGTATAACATCATTATTACCTAACCGTAATAATAACAAGGTAGGCTAACGATGTCAGAAGATATCTTGTGAATTTCTTGCTTTTAAAACCAACCCTATTGAAATTCACATTAAGTTCAGTTTCGTCTTGTAAAATGTTTGGGGAAACTTGGATTACTACGGTGACAAAGAAGGGTCATATTTGTCAAAAGGTCATCAAGGGTCTGACGGTGACCTCCTGAACTTTACCGGCTGTAAGGACCGGTGTAACGAAAACTTTTCATGCATAATGAAGGATAAATGAGGAATATTGATTTTTGGCGACAGGTTGGTGCAATACCCTCCGATAGGAGGAGGCCCATGTCCGGCAGTGGACTGTTGTGACTGTTATGGCTATGGTAGACGTAGATTATCCTTGTAAAAGTGTCAACAAGCTGTACATCGTGTTTCAGAGGAAATACTCTAAAGTATACACGTTTTTTTTTAACACGATAGGAAAATTATATAAAGAATCGCATTAAAATACCATCATCATCTGCTTGCCCTTATCCCGAATCAGTTGGGGTCGGCGCAATGTTTTATTAGAGCACAAAATAATGTGGAAAAATTATTATACAGGGTTATTTTTTAGTCAGTGCGCAAACTTTGCAAGATGTTTCTACTCGTGATTCTGAACAACTTTTACTATGGGGCCACCTGCGAAATCTAAAAAAAATTTTTGGTTGTTCCGTACATTTTTGCCGAGTAGGTATGAAATTTTCTATGGAACATCCAAATTTTTTTTTGCGGATTCGAAGGTGGTTCCATAGTAAAAGTTGTTCAGTATCACGAGTAGAAATACCCTGCAAAGTTTGCGCACTGACTAAAAAATAACCCAGTATGTTTCATGACCGGCTGTCTGCCTGACGTCACTTTCTTTGGAAGTCGTATTATAGGTGGTATCACCATGATATCACCCGTATCAACACGATGCAGATGTTCAAAATCCACAGACATACCTATTCAGCCAAAGTCAAAACCTCTACATCGCCGTTTATGAAACATTGATACCAAATTTTAAAACACTTCTCGTGTTAGGTAAACAATTTTTGGAAAACTTGCTAAATTTTCCACCGCAGGCAAGATTTGAACCTGCGAACTGCGACCTTCGGCATCTGTACTGCCGGCGCCACTACCATCTGGGCTACCGCAGTTTTTTTTTTTTTATCTATGATGGGCTTACTCTTGACCCCAATCTTACCCTAGAGCAGAGATGGGATCTACGGTGGAGCGTTCTAATCGAGCCTGCGAATTAAGCAAGTATATCTTGTCCACTATCGCGTGGATGGGCTCCATCTACCGGGATAGTTTTTCATCCCATGGTATTCAATTTATGGTGGGTTTTCATCGGTTTGACTACATTCAATCTGCAAAGAATGAATTAGTCGCTGGGAATTAGTTGAAAAACTATCCCGGTAGATGGTCCACGCGATAGTGGTCGAGATATACTTGCTTAATTCGCAGGCTTGATTAGAACCGCGGTAGCCCAGTTGGTAGTGACGTCGGTAGTGCAGATGCCGAAGGTTGCAGGTTCAAATCCTGCCTGCGGCGGAAAATTTGCAAGTTTTCCAAAAATTTCACGAAACACCCTGAATGGACTAGGGGTGGCATTATTATCACCCGCTACCACACTAGAAAATACCCTCCCCTTCAAAGCATAGTACCAATTCCTAATTTGTGGTACTTACCTATGTATTTATTATGGGTAGTAATGGGTGTTCATTCAATTCCCATTAGAGCTGTTATAATTCAATACAGCTGATTAACACACCACATGTTTCAGCTTAATTAAGCACAACTAGGTTACGTTATTAGGCGTGGTTACTTTATAATACCTACAATTATCGCTATGCGATGGCCACCTAGCCTTCATGGTTGTAGCACAAAATATGGAGTTGACAGAAGGATCACTCAAACCCTATTTAGAATTTTCACGATTGTCACTTGTTTTACCAGTGTTGCTACTGTCAAAAATCACAACGCATAAGAATATAAAATATGACGTTCGGGGCAATCATTTTCCTTGTTACTTTGAGTTTCTCTCAGATTCTAGTTCATTCCAGTAAGCTTCAGTTAGCATCAAAATCGTCGCTAGTACTGAGTGAGCCATCTGTAAAGATGCCCAGCGCGCTGTCTCCCTCATTTGTAATAAATGAATACATGCTATATTTTTCTATGCGTATTACCATAACATCAACAAATGTCTAACGCTGGACATAGGCCTACCCTTATCATGCTTTGACCGGTCTATTTTTCTTTACTGACATGTTTTCTAGTATAGGGTTGACTTTTTTAATTAATGTAAGTAAGATTTTAAAGATGATGATGATGATGAAGATTTTAAAGTTACACCGATACGACAAACTTCAAATGAATAATACCAACTTTTCTACGATAAAAAGAGAATAAGTAGGTATTACGAGTTGTATGTACCTATTTCCCGCAAGCATAACGCGAAAAATAAAAATTAATATATAATAAAAAACACGTGGCTTATTCACCGTGAGTCACAAGAAAAAAATGTTTTACTGCCATGTACGACGGATGGTGTTATGATTATGATTATGGCTTATACTTACCTATTTCAAACATGTGCATTATTTTTTTACACCATGTACTAAAAAGTTCAACATAGCTACCTACACCCATCATTACATAGTATAAAATAAAGTCGCTTTTTACGTTTCTCTGTCTGTCATGTAATTTGTGAAACTCTTCCTAAAGTTTTTTGTAATAGATAGAGTGATTCAAGAGGTTTATCTACACTTTCCATCACAAAAATCGAGACGCTTAGCAAGTTTACGCTAGGGATCACGTTATCTGAGACATATGTTTATTTTGGAATAAATGTCAAATGTAGTTCAATAGTAAGTATTACGAGGTTTCAAAATCCTAATGTCGATTTTCTACATTCAACTTTTTATTTCATAGATTTCATAGTTTGTTTGACTATGAAAACGAAACTGTCTCGATTTTTTTGATGGGGAGTATATGTATAGAGTATGCCGGAGAAATGTTATTTTCCGCGGAAAAACGAGTTGTAGCGTAGATCCGCGAATGGGCCGCTAGTTTCTTTTTCATATTAAGGATTACAAATTCGAAAAATTTGGTCCTATTCTTTGCAATGAATCTCTAAAATATACTTCTTCAGAATCATCAAATAACTGTGTACTTATATAATTTCTGGTTTTGCATAAAATGTAATGAAGTTGAAGTCCTCTAATGAATAATTTTCCCTATTTCCAAATACAGTGTTACGATTATTACACAAAAGAGCGTTTATAAATTGCCCGAAATTTCACCTTTTAAGGCAAACGCACTCTTTTGTGCGAAAATTACTCGGCACAAAATGTAAATAGGCTTTTACACCTGCCCGGTCACTTAGTTGTTTCGACATTAACCACCTATATTCACCTCACACCTTTATTTAAGTAAAAATGTGCTCACTTGTAACACAAATTAGGGAAACGGCGCGTTGGGCGCCTGTACAGATGGCGCACTCAGTACTAGCGACGATTTTGACGCTTATTGACGTTTACTGGAATGAACAAGAATCTCAGAGGAACTTAACTTAGAAGATGGTTGTCGCGAACGTCATAGTTCTTGGATTAAATTGGCTCAAAATCATATGACTTTCCTATCAGATTCAGACCTGTATTTCGTCCTCGTATTGAATCTGGCAACCCTCGCAATGTAACAAGTGACAATCGCGAAATTTCTTAATAAGGTCGATTCATTCTTCTGTAAACTCTATTTGCTAAGTCTTCTGCTGCTGCTTTTAGGAAGTCACGTCAAGTTTATTTAGACTTGTACATGTCCGTTTCTCCTAGACAATGTACCTCAAACATATAACAACTAGTAAAACAATTTTACGAGCTATATTTATTGGAAAGCATTTCCGAGGACAAAACGTGTTGTCCCCAGGCGTCGGAGGATAACGTTCCTAATGGAATACGCTATAGCTATAGGTCCTATAAACAGCTATACATACAAGGTGCAAGGAACAGCTCTCCGAATACTGATATTTGGGTGTATTCAGATCATGAAACTGAACAACTTCGAACAACGAAACAGCAATGAAAATATTTCAGGAAAAGTAAAGATTAAAAAAAGAGAAAGAAATTTAATTCCGTACTGAATGCAGACAGCTGATTGATCGTGATTTTTAAAGCAATTCCATATAGATCAATTGTTTTTACCTCTCTTGAATCAATTTCTGCATGGCTCAGTTTCATGGTCTGATGCACCCTATCAGTATTCAGAGAGCTGTCCCTTACACCCCGTATACAGAGAGTAACAAAAAGGGTATAACAAGCCGAAAGGAGGTCAAAATAATCATGAAAATTTGATAACAGAATGTGTTACATGGCAAATGGGTCGAAATATGAAAACAAATTCGACCTCGCATAGTAAATTAATCAACTGATAGGCCATTTTGTATGGGAAGTCCAAGTTCTTTTATCATATTTCGACCCATTTGCCATGTAACACATTCTGTTATCAAATTTTTGCACCGTTCGACGAAGACGGAAGATAATAAATAAGTAATGAATGGAAATAATATTGAAATTATGAGCCTTAAGGTAGATTGCATAATCCTTAAGACGTTAAGACGATTGCGTTTTTAGCCTTTTCATACAAACGTATTCACCTGTTTTCTTCCCTAATATAATAATGCAAGTAGAGCCACATTTCTTTTTTTATTGCATTTAGACCTGCTATAGACATGCATGCCCCCATTTAATTGTTTTTTCCAAATTTTCACGTGCGTAACTAGGTATAATGTAGGTATGTGCTTATAGGCATGAACCTATTATTCTAGTTCACTTTCGTCAATGGGACGAAAGTTTAGAATTCATCCTTTTAGCCTTAAATTAAAAAAAACTGCCGTAGATTTTATAACACATAATATACATCGTGTAAAGTAAAGATAACTCTTTCAAAATACGCAAAATTTCTGTGCATGCAAGCAATTCTACGCGAGTTCTAATAAATAAACATGAGTTTTCATTTAAAACCGCAGACGAATGCAAACCGAAATAAAAACAAGTCAGAATGCGAGCAACACAAGTAAAACAAGCAACATAATAGACGTCAACGATCTACAAACCAAACTCAGCTAAAAGATACATACATACATACATGACATACCAACTAGCAAAACCCAAAGGAGTAGGTTAAATAAAGACGAATAAAGACAGAAAGATAAGCTGTATTAAAAAACCCGACTGCGGTAATTTCAAAGTTGTATTTTGCGATAAAACGTCCGCCATGCTGAATTTATCTTTTTACACCTCGCATGTCAGCGATTTGTAAGACGATGGCACGCTTTTTGTGGTTTGACCAAGATCTGAGCATGCAACCTACGCGTTTTGCTAGTTTGATTTTTCACACAAATATTAAAATAACTAGTATAAAGTTGATCCCTTACATGCTGGAAATGGCCTACACTGTGGGAAACGACAGTACCTACCTTTTTTGATAAAACAACAAAACGCGATATCATCATTAACGCACGTAGGTATATACTAAAGGCAGACACTGCCAGGGCCCAATATTATGAGACTACAGTCTACAAACTGTGGGTAGTGGCAAATTTAATGTACATTGCGTAGGCAGTTAGCTATCTGACTGGGAATAATAGCTTTTAACTCTGTCAAGTCAATCAAATAAGTTAAGACAATGATAATAAGAGATATGCATGTCCTGTCATGTTTAACTATCTCATGTTGATGACACCTACCTGATGTCAATGGATTACGCTTACGCGTATTTTGCGTCGAATTAAAAGACATGACATAGCTTGGGTCAGAACATCCTTTTCTAAACCTACTTGACGGAAAGTGACATATTTATTTCCCGAACTGACACTATTATGTCACAAGGAAAATATAACCTACTTCGCAGTGAACTAAGAACTGTACCCACTGTACCTAGCCTGTAGTCTTCATAGAAACAACATTATTATCTATCACAAATTAGGGAAGAGGCGCGCGGGGCGCCATTACAGATGGCTCACTCAATACTAGCGAAGATTTTGACGCTTACGAACTTTAACTGGAATCTCAGGGGAAGTCAAGGTAACTAAGAAGATTATTGCCATGAATATCATATTTCTTGGATTAAAATTGGCTCAGAATGACGTTCTTGTATC